TAACAACTACAGGATACCCAAAAGAAACAACACACGATAGATGGAGGGAGGGTCTATACTTTATTAAACAATACACCAAATCGACGATAGAAAGTAGGGACGTAAACGGGTTTCGACCCCAAAAAAAACTAAAGGGTACCTATCTCGAGTGGAATCATCTCCATCAAACACGGTCAACTTTGAAACCTCGTTTCTCCAACAAACACCACCGGTAATGTACATCTACGACCTTGAGCGTGACGCCGGCCCTTCTTACATCTCACATTAACGTATGGCAAGGAAACATTTACGCAAAGCGAAGTTACAAGCGAAACGGTAAACAGTAGCAAACTCTCGCGGATCACATTACCTTGGAAAAGAAGCGCGAGATTTAAACGAGATCTTAGAGAGAGCTGCGCAGAACCGATGCGCATAGCGGTCTGCGGTTCGACTGCAAGGATGAGTCATGTTAAAAATCATGTCATGCATCCTATATATATGTGATTCATCCACAATAAGTCTACTAGGTTGTAATCGATAACTAAAAATCAATATGTGTATCGGTATCTGCATGAACTGTCTTTATTATTTTTTATTTATTTATCTATTTGGCTTCACCACAAGAAATATACAAGTAAGGGGGTGCAAAACAAGTGTATGAAAACCTTTGCAAGTTGCCATTTTAAATTATGATAGTGGCAAATATATAGACCGACATAAAAAGCCAATATAACAGCTGAAAACCAATTTACCTAAATTCTTACCAATTTCGTGAAGACGCTTTTCCAAGGCGGTGATTCGGCTGCGTTCGTTGTCTAGGTCGCGTTTCAAAGTGTCAACAGTGGTGGACATGCCGTCAACAGTGGTGGACATGCCGTCAACAGTGGTGGACATGCCGTCTTGGTTGCGCTTCAAGGCGTCAACAGTGGTGGACATGCCGTCTTGGTCGCGCTTCAAGGCGTCAACAGTGGTGGACATGCCGTCAACAGTGGTGGACATGCCGTCTTGGTCGCGCTTCAAGGCGTCAACAGTGGTGGACATGCCGTCTTGGTCGCGCTTCAAGGCGTCAACAGTAGAGGACATGCCGTCTTGGTTACGCTTCAAGGCGTCCACAGATGTGGACATATTGTATTGGTCGCATTTCACGGCGTCAAAAGTCGTCGACAATTGAGATATTTCCTACAAGCGTATATACGTGCGTCAGAATGCCGAACGTAACAAACAAACTTACGCAAAACAGCAGTAAATTCCTTTTTGTATCCTCTTTTAAAAGCAGAATGGACAATAGAGGTCCATGATCTCATACTTTCGCCAAATGATGTGAACCCGTCCGGTTGTCGAATTATACAATTTTAATAATTGATTTCGCAAATAAGAGTGTCATTTTGCATGGGTTACATCAGTTGATCATATTCTCCACCCAAATGACAGCCTCATCTTAACAAAATAGGCTATTCTAGCACTTCCTCATAAATTATGCAAATGAGGTCATAATGTGAATAAATTATCTTCATTGATGTTCACCTTCACTTAACTGCCAAATGCGGCAAGTATGAAATTACCAGCAATTACAACTATGAAATTATAACAATTTCCCATTAATTATGTAAATTAGGTCTTCATTTACATAATCTATAACCTCAGATGCTTTTCTCGTTCTCAATTACATGTCACAAATTTTTCATAGTCCTATTATAGAACGAAGCAGATTTATAGCATTTCCTAATTAATTATGCAAATTAGCGCCTGATTTACATAATTGTCATCTGATTATGTCAAGCATCACTACAGCTACCTACATACCAAAATCATGACAATTCGTTAACCGATTCTTGAGTTATCCACCATCGGAGATTTTTCAAGAAACGCTCCTGCAGTTCCAGAACAAGCTTTTAGGGGGCCCAAACTCATGTCACTTCTACCCTACCCCAAGAGCTATCTACCAACCAAAATTCGTGACCCTAGCATATCTAGTTCGCGAGATATCAAAACCGGACGTTCTGTTGCAGTACCAACAAAGTCTCCAGGGGACCCAAATCTAATCATTTCTAGGTCCCATCAAGACCTACCCACATACCAAGTTTCATGACAATCCACATTAAGCTTCTTGAGTTATGCTGTTCACAGACAAACAAACGGACAGACAGACAGACAAACGCAACTGAACACATAACCTTCTTTGCGAAGGCAATAATTATAAAATAGAACAGGCTTTATGGTACAATGCTGTTACCTGTTTGTTGATGAACGTCAGAGGGGCGAGTCCCACAGAGACAAGGCTCAGCAACACGGCGATGCCGGCGGCAAGGCAGCTGCGGTTGGAGCGGAGGAAACTACAGACACCAAGGCGGCCGCTCGCCCCACCCTGATACGTGCGGTCTAGTAAAAAAACACTTATCAGAAACCAGAAATACCAGAAGTATACAATTTTTGTATGAAAATGAAAACAAAAGCAATTTTAAACGCCTGCATTTAAGATAAATGAAAGAAAACTCTACGGGTATTAGGGAATCACTCTCTCTACCCCAAAACTACGAAATATCCGCCTGTCTGAAGGTAGTGTTTCTTGGGATTAACTTTTATATTGTTTAATAGAAAAGATAATCGGTGAAGATACTAATGACAAGAGTTTTTAAATATGTAAAAAGTACACAATTCAGCCTATGACTGCGATGTACTTTTGACCCGATCAAAATGATCAAATGAACCCTGAAATGAACCATTCATTCATTCTTTCATTCATTCAAATAGAATACATCGAAATGAAAGTAGAAGAAGGAGGAGGAGGAGACGAGGAAACAGAGGAAAAACAATATTTAATTCCATTCCTATAGTATGGACTGAAATAATCACCCAAATCACCACCGCATTTCCAAAACAAGCTGACATAATGACCAAATCTACATTAATATTACGTTTCCTCACATAAAAGCTAGCTGCCACCAAAAAAGCAAGACCCTAGCTATCATGTCCAGGACATATAAGATACAGAAATTGTGTGGGTCGATGATGCATTACCCGGAGCATTCACCAGGAGGCGCATATTTGACATTGACCTTCTTTTTTGCAAGACCTACCACCATACCAAATATCACTATGACAATCAATCCAGGAGTACTTAAGTCCAGAAGGGAGTGCTATATCCCAACAGACATTAATTTTAGGAAGTGAAAAATACATATTATCATATAGCCAGGTGGCGTTGACCAATCAGAAGCCCCCATTCCATATTGATTATGACACCATAATGTCACAGTTAGCATGATACAAGTATTGCAAAATCATCCCAAGTGTGTTTTATTCTCACAATGTGCTTTGTTGCAGAATAATGCACACCCTGGAGCAAACCATTTGTAGGGGTGTTGATTTTTTTGCTAACATTTGTAACATGCACGTTTACTTGTTGAATAGGAATGTTTACCGTCTTGTCATCAACTAATTTATCTAGCAATACATAACACAATAAAGACCATGTCGATACATATGAATTTTGAGCGAAAGGAAAGAAAACATATTTCGCGCCACCCCCACTAGAAAGTACATTTCTGTATTGAAACATCCAAATGACCTCAGATGACTTCAAATGGAAGCTTGCACTGTTATTTTGGCCAAAAATAACCACAATTGGAATACCGACATCCGCGGATCCAGAAATTTGTGAACGGGGAGGGCGCACCACCTGACGTAAGCGCTGCGCGTCAGCGCTGCGCGGGGGGGGGGAGCCCCCCTCTCGTGGGGGGTTTGGGCGGCTTCCCCCAGAAAATTTTTAAAATTGAGAGTCTCTCTGGTGCATTTTAGAGTCATTTCTGAGCAAATAACCAACGAACTAATACTGATGTTTTCAGTACATTCATGTGCCTGTCGGTACATTTTCAACGACTGAGAAATAGAATATTGAAAATGCCTCTATGTTTGGGACGACTAAATTTCACGAAACGGTGTAAATAAAGAGTTCGCGATGGATTTTAGTTAGCGAAAAAAAGGAACAAATACAAAAGGAAATGTCGCCTCTTTATAGACCGGATCACTAAAACATTTTCCGATCGCGGGGAACGCGCGGTCACAACATCGCATCACTCAAATACACTAACGGATGACTAATGTGACAACATGTGAAGTAACGGCCTGGCGACGGAGCGCCGCGCACGTGTTTACCATTTTCAAGAGTTCACAAAATTTTAGGAGAATACTAAATTCTCGAGCGCCGGGTGTCAGCGGAAGACACTTATTGAATGGGGCCACCTTGCCTGCTGTAACCTGACCGGACCACGGAAAAGTTAGCTCGGCGTAGTTTATCAAAAATTCGATTTAACGGCAGTGAACCTTAATCCGACGCAACCTTAATCCGACACTTTTCAACACTCCTCTGTCTGTTAGGATCTAGCACTAGTACTGACATGCTAAATATTTTAATTGCTTTACAAACTCAATAAGGTATACAGCATAAAAACTTGAAACAGTGAGCTAACGAAGTCAACATGTTGTGGAGACGAGGTCATGGATTTTTTCAGCCTGTTTTGCACTGGTTGGCATGTCGTGGGAGGAAGCTTCCGGAAGGACAGTGGTCAAAACATCGACAATTTCTCCTTTACATCCTCATGCTATACATTCAACGTCACAGCGAATAAAAAAAAAATTAATAAAGTGTCTGTTGCTGACAAACCACTTGCCTAGAAGTGTCCTTCTTTTTAAGCACAGAGCGAGTTTGTTACGGTCATTCAGCCGCTAATCGAACAAAACCGCCATTTTGAATTGTTGTTGTTGTTGAAGACGATACCACTAGTCCGTACGTGGATGTGGCAAATGATCGCAACACTTGTATATCGTCAAAATTAGTGACGAATACTTCGGAATAGTGCAGAATAAAGCTTTCTGTATGGTAAAATTATCGTAAAATTCCTCAATTATTCCATATTCAAATATTTCTTGGAACGAAATGCCCCGCCGTAACTGATTCGAATGTGGTCCCCTTCTTGGAAAATTCAATAGTCCCAAGCCACGTGATACTGATCTGTAGCGCTGCCAACGGTGCACCGCACCGGCCTACCGACTGTTACTTTTGATGTCGATTATAACTAGTATAAGTGTCTGTTGTTTGACAAAGGGATGGAGAAAAAATGTTGTTGTGAATAGCAAAATTACAGGCAAACAGCTACACTGTTGCATGGCGTCGGATTAAGGTTTCGTTTAGAACAGAATACGCAGGGCACGGTGAAATCAGGAGCGATGTTGAAGACGCAATTTTCCCGCGATATCTCAATGGTTGGGAGAGTGACACACACGTAGGTATGGTGTTAAAAACAGGCTACAAGATGCACTAAGTGATTAACGAAAATACCGAATGTCTGGTTGTGGATTCATCATTCAATCTTGCCGGTGCATAAAAGTGTCTGATTAAGGTTCACTGCCGTTACCGCCCATCGGAGAGCAACGATTATCGAGACGGAGAAGTGAGCCTGTGCGACCGAATTTAAAATTTGATGCAAACCAAAACAACAACGAGGGGCTACTGTGACTTACAATTCTGAATGGGAAAGAGCGAAAAGGTTTTAAAAAAAAATAGCTCGTAAACCGTTCTGTTCCAAAGTTCCGGTGAACTCATGTGAACTCTGATACGAGTAGAACAGGTAAAAAAGATCACACTAAAGGACATACAATAGACAATGCTGTGTCATAATTTGTCATAGAAGAACTGATTTAGACTCAATATGTGGCTACTTGGAATCGGGGAAAGATGCACAGGAACAGTGGCTAGCAGACGGGAAGATAGAGAAGTGGCTGTAACGGTTTGTTATAGTTTAACTTTGTATGTGTATACAGAAATGTGTCAGTCTTCACTCTGTAAGTTTTGATAGGCTATATGATAATAGCGTTAATGGCCCGCCCTTTCTCGGTGAAAATGGTGTGATAAAGCCTTGTCAGTTGCTATAACCACCGAATAAAGCCACCGAGTGACACCTCGGGGCGGGTCATTAACCCTTAATTACTTTACAGTATACAATAAAATGTCCATTATGCGCACAAGTCTTAAAATGCATCGAATCCGGGACAAACTCTCGAAATACCCTCAAAACTATCCCAGAATACGCCACGCTACCCCCATTGGTGTCTATGTTTTGACCAAGAAAATTACGTTACAGACCTAATTTCGGGGGCGATCAGAAAAAATCGTACTATTTTGTGTTCTTTGAGATGTTACCAACCATTGGCCTTCTCGGTGTCCTTTATTTAATATCGCCTCTCATTTATGCGAAAACATTGACGATGAAATATAACGGTGTAATCTGATTATCTTTTCCATAAGTGGCGTAATCTAATTATCTGTTCAATTGATATTTACATACAAATAAGTTGAGAAAATCAAAACAAAAAGTATCGATAAAACTGGCAGCTCACTGCATTAGACATCCTGATATTATAGTTTTCAAGCCACAGGTCAAACAAAGTAAAGCAAGTAAGTTCTCAATAATCAGCTTATTAGTGTGCTTGTCTCCTATTGTTTTCCCCAAAAATGTTAATGTTGACTTGAAGTATTTGAGCATTGCATAATCAAAAGTTCCCGGATGTATCGATTGTGGTTCAGCATGGATGAATATGATAATGATATCGCTTTAAGTCTAGGACCGGAGTTTTTTTTCACGATTTTAGATCCGGCGGACACCCTCAGACCGAAGGGCTACAACTCCGCCAAGAAAAGTACGCCGGGAAATCTCATTATATCAGTCAACGGAGGTTTCCAGCCGGCTTCCGATAGAATTTTGGTTATTGTCTGTTGACTCTATAATGTAGGTGTTGTTACAATTGGGCTCCTCAGACTCAAATGTGAGGAGCCCAATTGTAACAACACCTACATCGGAGAGACAAGTCGACCGCTCAAAGTAAGATACAAAGAACATTGCCGACCTAGTGCCAACGGCTACTCCTCAGCTATTTTCCACCACCTACAACACAACCAGGGTCACTCTTTCAAACTCGAGTCCACGGATATCTTAGACCGCGAAACACGCTGGTGGGAACGGGGTGTTAAAGAGGCAATATGTGAAAGAATGTACAACCCCACCCTCAACAGGGAAGGGGGGCTACGAGTCGATCTTTCCGGCACTTGGGATTTGGCACTCCCAGCCCCGAGGACAGACAACACTTATGCTCCTGTTCTGTATAACAGGAGCTTTCAGACTAATTTGCATCATTTTGTCTTGACTTGTCTGACTTTTGTTCCTTTTTCGACTTCCAAAAATTTGTCTTCACTTTATTTGCATATCAATCAACAGGTTGTACTTATAAACCTGCTTTCCCCTCTGGTCTCTCAGTCACTGACGAAAGCTAGTGGATACTAGCTGAAACGTCTGACGTTTTCAAAATCATATCCAGTTGCTTGAGTAACTGTTTCTTGGTGTCTTATTTTCCCCATTCATTATGAAAATAAGTTATATTCTTTGTGCAATGGACCTATCACATTATTACGTCACAGTTTGTTACCTGTTCTAAAGAACATTCTAGAACGGTCAGTTATAGAATAAAGATCAAGTTTGCGAATTTGAAAGTCAGGTATGTTTGATTTTTGCTGGGTCTAGTTTTGTTGACACAGCATTACATGCCGTAACGGGTGATTTAGTTAAGACATTAGACAAAAGTAGTACAGTAACTGTAAAAAAGCATTATATTAGGCTAGCGCTACACAAACACACACCGCGCTACGCACCCCTGTACAATATAAACGTCGATTAACCGGCATTCATTGCGGTAAACAAACTGTGACGTACAATGTAATAATATGATAGGTCCATTGACATCCTTATTCACATGATTTATGTACTACCGAAAAAGTAATACTTGAGCGTATTATGAACCTGTAAGACTGGTGAATTGTAGCATTTTTAGACTTTGAATCAATTTTTTGACTGGCTTGTAATTGCCATGTAACCGAAATGAAACGAAACTTACAGTGGGTGCTGCTGGAAGGCAGAAAAATGTCCAGACTATGCATGATGTAATAAATGACTAATATTATAAAATGGTGGACGTGCCAACCACCACTAAGTATCTGATATCAGCCCAGAAAGAACAAGAAACAGCCATGCCTTCAAACAATTATCAATTAAGAATTGAAGTGTTCAAAAACTCGTATTTTCCAAGAACTATTGTAGACTGGAACTCTTTGCCACCAAGCGCAGGGGCATCGTCACTAGAAAGCTTTAAACAACTCCTGCAATTAAATGTGCAGACAGAAATTGGGTGTAACAAGTCGTTCGGTGTAATGTAGCTAGCTGCTGCCGCGCCGCGTGCTTGCGAAGCTGGTGTGTTACGCCGAAGATTATACCGGCTATACTGATACAAAAGTATGCAATAGCATACCCTGGAAGCCAGAACTCGTTTTCCGGGCCGCAGGAGCCCTTCGCCCGCTGGTGTAAATTACCGCTACGGGGGAGTCTGGCGCTCAACTCCCCCGTAGCGGTAATTTAGATAGGCGGGGGAAGGGCTCTTGGCTGCCGAAGGAAAGGGGCTAACGGCCCGATACTAGTCTTGCATCCAGGGTAGCAATAGCAAGATACAAGACTATAGTCTTCCTGTAAAAAATATCCACTGTAAAAGACGGATTTAAAAGCGCTGGTTACCTGCTGACGTGTACGCTGCGCGACATCTCACCGCCTCGGCTTCTTCGTACGTGTGTGAAGAAGCATCGTCGTCTTCTGGCTGCTTGTCGGGA